ATGTTCACATATGTGTCTTATTTATTTCACTTATAAGTATGCTCTCAAGTTGATTTATTTACCTGTAAAAGTCTCAAGTTTATCTTTCTTTATGGCTGAGTAGTATTCCGTTGTATAAAAGTACCACATCTTTTCCATCCATTCCTCAGTCTGTGGGCGTTTGGGCTGGAACCTAACATTTTTTAAATAAAAAAATTTGGGAGGTTTTTGAGACAGGGTCTTACTTTGTAGTTGAGACTGGCCTCGTTTGTGGTGTTGCTCCTACCTCAGCCTCCTGAGTGCTGTGATTATAGGCGTGTGCCACCTTGCTTGATTTAAATCAGTAAAAACATTAGCCTGTCATGTTACATATTCCCTGATCTAGTTAATGTAATTATATTACTCAACATGGTAACTAAAGTGATAATATTTGTTTTTTGTTTTTTTTTTTTTTTTCTTTATGCTGGCCTTGAGCTCATTTTGTAGCTCAGGCTGGTCTTGAACTCGAAATGATCCTCCTGCCTCAGCCTCCCAAGTGCTGGGATTATAGGCATGAGCCACCACCCCCGGCTTCAAAGTGATATATTTGTATGTTCAGAATAATTTTTGAGTATTTAATTTCTGACTTGGGCTCATGATTGTGTTTCATTTGTGATAAGAAATCACATAGCTTGTTACTTACCATTACATCAAATGGTATGTATTAAACTGTATTTTGTAATGACCTAGCACATAATGTACCTGATTTATTAGCAATATTTTTAGTAACTTTTCCATATATAGAGAAGTCTTTTGTAAATTATATACCAAGTAGTTTGTTTATTGAGACAGAGTTTTGCAGTGTAGTGCAGTTTGACCTTGAACTCACTGTGTAGCCCAGGCTGGCCTCCACCAGGCCCAGCTATACCGTGCAGCTTTTATAAAATGTATTAAAATTGCAGATCATGTTTAAATAAGTTCAGCTAATGTTAGTTTTTTTCTCATCCCCTTGAGGTTTTTTGTCTGTTTTCATTTTTGATAAGGGGGTCAGATCTAGAACTGTACCGCTGAACTGTATGTATCCCTAACTTCTCTTTTTGTCCTAGTTATCTGTATTTTTAATTTTCTTTCCCTATTGCATCTGTATTTGTGTGTGTGTGTTTTAGTACTGGTGATTGCGCTCAGGGCCTTTGTACTGAGCTACATTCTCAGTCCTTTAAAAAAATTTATTTGCTGGCACATGTCTGTAATCCCAGCATTTGTGATGCTCAGGCAGAAGGATTACTGTGAGTTCAAGGCCAAGCTGAACTGCATCACAAGACCCTAACTCAAAATAAAAAAGAATTTAAAAAAAAAATGAGACAGGTATTGTTGAGTGGCTATCTTGTCCAGGCTAGAGCAAACTGGGATCCTCCTGCTTCAGCTTCCCAGAGTGCTAGGATAACAGGTGGGCATCACTACGTCTGATTTCTACATGTGATTTTTCTTAATATTTTATCCATATGCACATGTACTCATCTATGTGCACATGTATATAGGTACTTAATGTAGAAAGACAAATTAACAGGAACATTTGTGTGCTTATAGTACTTGAAAAATAGAAGATTCAAGATTTCCTATTTATCTATGCCTGATTACATCATCGTTTTCTTCCTTTAATTAAGTGTTTTATATCTAACTTAAAACTGCTTTTAGCCAGATATGGTAGTGCATGCCTGTAATTCCTGTGATTTGGGAGACTGACAAGAGACTTGCAAGTTCAAGCCCAGCCTGAGCAACTTAGCAAAGACTTTCAAATGAGTGAATGTCCAAGCTTTCAGATTAATCACTAGTACTGCAAAAGCAAGAAAATCCCAAACTGCTTCTGGATTGTTGTTATTTTTAATTTTAGTATCCTTCTACTTTGGTTTGGTTTTTTGTTTTGTAGGGATTTTGAGGCAGGGTCTGGCTGTGCAGTTTAAGCTGGCCTTGAGCTTGCTGTGTAGCCCAGGCTGGCCTCAAATTTGAGTGCTGGGATTACAGGTTTGTACCACCACACCTGGCTCCCCTTGTTTTAAAAATTAGTATACATCTGCAGTATATCATAAATATATTCATAGGTAAGCGATATGTGTAGATATGTACCCATGGGGTTTCTGGGGGCGGGGGAGTGTTTTGTTTTGTTTGAGACAGGATCTCACTATGTACTTCATACTGAGTTTGAACTTACTATGTAGCCCAAGCTAGGAGAACTCTTGCCTCAGCTTCCTGAGTGCTGGTATCACGAGTGTGTTCCACTGTGCCCAGCTATATATCCAGTCCTGATCCTCTTTATTTTTTTTCCCCCAAGCCAAACTATCCAACTTTATTAAAGATACTTTTCATAAACAATCATGGTATTTCAGGCAGGGCATGGGCACACAGCTGTTAACAAACTCTCTTCTTGGATGGACTACCAAAGATCAGAAAGCAACTATAGAATCTAATGAAGTCTTTGTTTGAGACCTTGAAGTAGGGAAAGTTTAGAGTGAGAACTGACATTTCACATTTTGCGTGCTGCTTAACAACGTTTCACAAGCAGACCCTGACTTTCAGGAAATAAAAATGGCAGAATTATCAATCTGAGGACCCATAATGTAGAAAAGGAAATCACTGCTCTTGTGGGATACTGTCTCAACATCACAGGCAAGTCCAGATTGCCTGATGCACTGGTAACATCAGCTTTTGGGAATTGGGTCCCAATAGGTCTCTGGGCTTAAGAGAGTTAGGTCTGTGCTGATGGGAGAGGAAAGGAGGACATAAACCGGGGGTTGTTGCACACCACAAAGCATTTATGGCCGCATGTGTCAACATCAGGGAATCCTTCCTCCTGGGAGCCAAGAGGAAGTCTTGCATAACTAGCAGGGAAAGGTACTTTGCTCACATTAGTCCAGCTTTGGGGACATTGTGCCAGTGACACATGCTCCTTCTCCAAAAAATAATGAAGTATTCTGTGTGGTAACAACATAGTTTAAGAAAAAAGTAAAAACAAAATTTTGCATTTTTATAAAACTTGATAAAAAAGTATTTCAAACTTTTCAGAAGTATAGAATTATCAAAAATGCACACCCCTCACCTGGCATCTCCAGCGCCTTCAGCTTTTTGTGCCTGCTTTGTTTTGGGACCTCCATTTTCTGCAGGGTTATTCTCATCCTTGCTGGCATCAGCTTTTCCCATTGGGCATCTTCTCCCTTTTTTGCAGGGGCCTTTTAGGCTTGGGCTCTTGCTTTGGAGGAGCTGAGTTAGCAGATTCAGAAAAATAAAATCTTGCACAGATTTTCTCTGGGTTCATCCTTCACCTTGGGTTTCTCACCTTCAGCGTTCCCTTCGGCCTCTTTCTTTCTTGAGCGTGGCGGCATTGGCGGTGCCAGGAAGGTGCTGGGTGCGAGGTACAGCGGCGGAGCGGCGGTGCAGCGGCGGCGCAGCTTTGCTTGGTCCAGGGTCATTCTGGCTGCTTCACACTGCTCCCAGTCTTGATCCTTCTTCTCTTCTCCTTCCTCTTCCCATATCCTCCATCCCAGGTACTTTTGTCTTTTTGAGACAGGGTTTTGCTACGTAGCCCAGGCTGGTCTGGAAGCCGTGAGCCATCCTCCTGCCGTAGCTTCTCAAATTGCTGGGATCCCAGCCTTGTATCACTGTGTCTGGCTATGTCTGCATTTTTGCTTGTTTGTTTAACTCAAATACTGCCTTATTCTCTCAGTTGAGTAATGGCATGACTGATAAAATTCACACTTTGCTGAATTACTGTGTTACATATAGATGCAGACTGTTTTTAATACTTTGGTAATGTTCAGCTGGATGATCAAACTATCTGGTCATCTTGATCAGGTAATAAAGCAAACTAAAAGGAAATAAAAGCTTCTACCTTTGGAGGTAGTGTACTTTTGGCTTTTTTTTTTTTTTCCATTTTTTTGGTCCACCACTGCTTTTACTTAAGACAATAACAGGTATATGAACTTTTACATAGACCAGCTGCTCTCTTTCTTATGGCTTGATTCTATCTCAAACCTAGTAAGTAAGGTTGGGGCTGGGGATTTAGCTCAGCGGCATAAGTGCCTGCCTTGCAAGCAGGCAGTCATGAGTTCGATCCCTGGTACCGATAAAAAGGAAAAAGAAAAAAAAAACCCAAAAGCCTAGTAAGATTGCCAAACGTGTTCTTTGCTAGGACAAATAGTTTAGTGTATGTGCTGCTGAAGTGAGCTACTGTTTAGGTTTATGTTTAGGTGTACGTAATGACCGTATTCATCGTGGGGGATTTGTACTTGTTCATTGTATAACTTGATCCTTGTTTTCCTCTATTTCCCTTCCCTCTCTTCAAGCCCTTCTTCCCCTTCTTATTTCCAAAAGCTTACCTTTTTCTTATTTTTTCTTTTCCTTCCCTTTCTTTCCCCCTCCCTCTCCCTACTTCCCTTTCCTATTTGAAAATTTTCTTCCTATTTCCTGTTTGTATTATACATTTTGATGACCTATTTTCTGAATGCTCCTTTTTGAATATATAAATTTATAGAAAAATAAAACCTATTAGAAGTTGACAGTACTTACTGTATTAAAAGTGTATTTCTAGCCAGCCATGAGGTGTACTGGGAATCTGAGGCAGGAGAATTGCAATTTTGAACCCAGACTGGACAACTTAGCCACTTAGCAAGACACTATCTCAAAAAAGGAAAAGAAGAGGCTGGGGGTGTAGAGCAGTGTGAATGTCCTGGGTTCAGTCTCCAGTGCTGCACTCCCCCACCACCCACTGTTATTTTTCTCATTTTTCTAATTCTGTTAATGAAAGATTTGGTCCATGAGTTTGCTATAAATTGAACTGTTCATATTTTCCCCTTGATTGTGGAAATGGAAGACCAGTTTGAATCTACATATTAAATGTAGTTGATTTTTTGCTAGGAATTTGAGTTTTATAATTTTGGGTTTTGTTAGGATTGAAAACTACACTATCTTAGTGAAATTGGTATAATAGTTATTTTGCTAAACATATCAAATGAAATAGTTGTTAAAACAGTTCATGTATTTTTCTTTAGAGCTCAGTTCCCCAAAACTTGTAAAAGCAGGAATGTTGAAGACAAAGAAATCCAATAAGGTATGTTTTCAGGAAATATCTTAACTCTGTTGATTTTAGTAATTGTCATTAGGGACTCTTGTTAGATTATTGGTGAAGTTGCCTTTTAGAGCTTTCAGTGATAAGAAACAGCCCCAGCTGGTGCATGTGTGCCACAAGTTCGCCACCACTGTTCTAGAGAATTGTACCCTTTATCCATATATGCCCCATATGCTTCTGTTATCACATGTATCTCTAATTAATGTCATGTAGTACTGTTCAGTGTGATCATGAGACCAAGGCATTTTTATTTCAAAGTGTTCTGTTTGGAGAAACTTTTGAATGAATTTGGCAAATATCTTCATGTAACTAAATATAGGTAGGTGATTTTTTTAAAAAAATTGCTATCATTTTAGCAAGTATTTTTTCCTCTTAAAAAGTTTAAGAACAGGGGCTGGGGATTTAGCTCAGCGGCATAAGCACCTGCCTTGCAAGCAGGCAGTCGTGAGTTCGATCCACGGTACCTATAAAAAGGAAAAAGACAAAAAAAAAAAAAAAAAAAAGAAAAAATTTAAGAACAGAATTTGCTGACATAACATTTATTTATTTATTAGGCCAGCGATTTCAGCGATATGGCTCTTTGGCCAACACCAGGTGAATTAGTGAACACTGGAGTAAGTATTTTAAATCCTTTAAAACTAATCGAACATCACATATTATTTCAACATGCAGAATATATTTTACTTAAAATCTAAGTCAGACATGGTGGTTATGTGCCTATTATCCCAGCACTTTAGGAGGCTGAGGCAAATTTGAGCCCAGCTTAGGCAATTATTTTTTTTTTTTTTAATATATTTTTAAAATTTTTATTTTTTACTAAAATGTTTTGAGATGAGGGATGTAAGTATAGACTTGATCCATTGGTAAGAATACTTGTTTGTTAAATTTGTCTTTTTTTTTTTTTGTACTGGGAATCCAACTCATGACTGCATGCTTGCCAGGGAGGTGCTGCGCTGCTGAGCTATGTCACTAGCCTGTAGTCATCTCTTGACATTGCCACTGGTATTAGTAATAAACTTGGTGACTGGAGAAGGGAAAGATGGAGAGGGAGAAATTGGCCTTGAATATACTGACCTCATGGTGATCCTCCTGCCTCGGCCTTTTCTGAGCATTGTGATTACAAGTGTGTGTGACCATGCCTGAAAAAATGTAGTTTTATATTTCATAAATTAATTTGTCATTTGTTTTCCAATATTCAGGTAATGTATATTACTACAGATTTTTGGATATGCTAGTGAAAATGTTAATGAAAAATTGTTCTGTTCAGAAAACTTTTCTGCAGTTTCAGAGTGTCCTAAGCCAAGGAAATAAGAAGCCTCAAATTAGAAAAGAAAAAGAAGAGAAGGTCGAAAAGAGAAGTAACAGTGAGAGCAAAGAAAACAGAGAAACCAAGTTAAATGGTCCTGGTGAAAATGTGAGTGAGGATGAGGCTCAGTCAAGTAACCATCGGAAGAGAGGTCAGTTATCTGTATCTCCTTTCTGGTATGAACGTTTGAAGAAAGTTGCAATAATCAAGAATTGTTGCAGGAAAGCCCACCTGCCTTAGTTATTTGTTACTATAACACTTCTGGACCCATAGACTTTCTGTTTCTTTCTTTTTTGTACCGGGGATGGAACTCATGACCTTGTGCTTGCCAGGTAGGCGCTTATGCTGCTGAGCTCAGTCTCCAGCATGCTTGCGCTCGATGTCTTGCTCTTTTTCTTACTTTCTTTTTTTCATTGTACTATATGTAATCAAATGGGATGAACTTCCTAGTATAGCAATGAGGGTAGATATAGTCATAGAAAGTTACGTGACTATTCTTTTAAATCTGTCTTTGAACTGCTCCCTGTTTTTTATGGAGTTATGAGGTGATGAAATTTTTCAAAGAATTCAGGATCTTTCAGAATCAAGAATCTTTGATTCTTTGATTGAAAAATTTCTTGAGAAAGCAGGAAAAAAATGATCAAGTGGTCAGATTAAGAAATAAGAAATTTCTCTAATGGTACTTGGTTGCCCTGTTTTTATCTATTTTTCCACAATTAACTCTTGCTCATTGTATCAAGAGAGCCTAATGCATATTCCACAGCAAATAAGATATCCATGAAAAAAGGTAAATTATTCAGCTAAGTGCTGAATAAGAATAAGAATTCTTTGATTGAAATTTTTTTCTTTTTTTTTCCTGGGTACTGGAAATCGAACTCAGGACCTTGTGCTTGCTAGGCAGCACATTGGGCTTTGACCCTTAGATTCATTTCTTTAAGAGAAAATAGAGAACATTTTTGATTACCATTTCTTTTGAGCATTTCCCTTAAAAAATACACTTTAGGGGCTGGAGGTTTAGCTCAGTGGCATAAGCACCTGCCTTGCAAGCAGGCGGTCTTGAGTTCGATCCCCGGTACCGATAAAAATGAAAAAGACCAAAAAAAAAAAAAAAAAAATACACTTTGAAGGAAAAATAAATTGTCTTTCCAACCGTTTCCATTTTCTTTTCTGAACTTCTCCTGTGTCTTTTCTGAACTTTTCATATGTCATGTACCAAGAAAGTATACCTGCCTTGTAAAAACTTTGACTCTGTCAGTGTTTTGCCCAGATAACATGGCAGGAAGTAAGTTGAGAGACATAGGCATGGCCCATAGTCTATATAGCCAGGTAACTTGAAATTAATGAATTTGTTAACATACTGGGGATTAAATCCAAGGCCTCACACGTGGCAGACAAGTGAATACTTTACCAGTGAGTTATATCCTCAGCCCTGTTTTTTTTTTTTTTTTTATTTATTGGTACCAGGGATCTAACTCATGACCTTGCACTCACCAGGCAGGTGCTTATGCTGCTGAGCTAAATCCCCAGCCCCCAGCACTGTCATTTTTAGTGCCATGGAAGAGAATGAAACATTTATTTACTCTACAGTAAATGCAACATATAAGTACACAGTATGTAAATACAGCAAACACAACTTGTAAATATGCAGTATGTACACAGTATGTAAACTAACAGCAAATACATGTAAATATAGCACGTAAATATACAGTATGTAAATACACAGTATCTAATACACAGTTAATATAACATTGGAGGAGACATTGAGTAGCATAGTAGATACTTGACAACTTCTTAATTCTGGAACTAACAGGCTGTCATATACCAAGCACTTAGCTGAATAATTTACCTTTTTCATGGATATCTTATTTGCTGTGGAATATGCATTAGGCTGTCTTGATACAATGAGCAAGAGTTAATTGTGGAAAAATAGATAAAAACAGGGCAACCAAGTACTGTTAGAGAAATTTCTTATTTCTTATTTCCTGATTACTTGATCATTTTTTTCCTGCTTTCTCAAGACATTAGTCTTTGGGTGTCTAGAATTCATACATATAACAGAGCAGGCATTTTAAAATTTGTCATTTTCTCTGTACTGAGAATGATGGGGGTGTGCCATCATACCCAGCAAGAATATATTTATATGGAAAGAAGGGCTTACTTTTGCCTGAAAATGTTGTTGATAGAATTTATGAAAGGTCTTAAAGAGTTACAATTTTTTTCATGTTCTGGGTCCTTTATCTGATCTGAGTTTGACATTTATAGGAAGTCAATACTTCATTGTATATTTCGTTTTCCCTTAGTTAGTTTGAAGTTTTTTTCTTTGCCTTGAACCTTTTTATTATAGTAGAAAATGTCAGTTGAGTAGAACACTGAATAAGAAGCCTTAACTTCGGAATTCATGAAATTGTAATCTTCAGAATTTTACTCTAACTGTAACAGTTATGTCATCAGTCACCCAGAAAAGTTAATCTGATTGTATCTCTTCTTGAGTTAGATGTGGAATAACTCCAGAATATTTTTCTATCAAGTTAGAGTTTTACATTCACCCACTTAGGATTTGGGAAACTTCATTTGTTAGTAATAATCCTAGATAAAGTAACATTTCAAACAGTTATCTGAGACTGTTTTGAACCCAAAACCTAACTTTCTAGCATTATAATGTCTTTTCATGTATGTGTCATTCTAAAGCCTAAGGATTAAGTTAGGATTAAGTTAAGTAGAAAGGAGTAGTATGTATATGTATTTTTTTTTGTCTTTTTCCTTTTTATCGGTACCAGGAATTGAACTCACGACGCCTGCTTGCAAGGCAGGTGCTTAGCCTCTGAGCTAAATCCCCAGCCCCTAAGCATATGTATTATTATCATTACTTTTGTTTGATTTTTTTTTTTTTTTTTTTTTTTTTTTTTTTGGTGCCTGGATCTTGCCAGGCTGCCCCTGACCTCACTATATAGCACAAACTGGCCTTGAATTTGCAGCAATCCTCCTGCTTTAGTCTCCTGAGGGCTAGGATTATAGGATGGTGCCTGACCACACTCAGCTCTATGTATTATTTTAAATATGTTCATCAAAATTAAACAGAATAGTAGCATTTCACTTAAAATAATACCAATAGTGTTCCACCATTGGCTTTTCACTTGATTTTTAGTCATTTTACTTATGTTTATTAAATATCTATGTGAGATGGGAAAAGATTTTTTGGTACTCTGCAAATAATCCCTGTAAGCTATTTAATTAAAATGCAGCATGCTTTCAGAATTACAAAGCTTTAGTGAAAATTATACCTTGTCACTAATGATTTTATCTTGTTTTCTTTAAGCTAATAAGCACAAGTGGGTACCACTCCACTTAGATGATCTTAGGCCAGACAGTCAAGAAAGACCTGGATCCCGGAATAATTCAAGATGTCAAGCTGAAGCAAATAAGTCAGCACACAATAATAGGCGAAATGATACACGAAGTAAGTTGCATACTAAGAGAAATATAACTAAAAAACTTTGTTTTGGTACTTATTGATAACCAAAGTATAAACCATTTAAGAGTAAATTATAGTTAACCTATTTAAATCCCTTTAGACTATATTTCATAAGAACAGTATAACCATAACATAGTCTTTTAATTTTTATTTTTGTGGTACTGGAAATTGAACCCAAGGCTGTATGTATGCTAGGCATGTGCTCTACACTGAGCTATATCTGCAGCCCTTTTTAATTTATATTTGAGTATAGGTCTTGCTAAGCTGCCCTTGCTCGTCTTAAACTTGTGATTCTGCTTTAAGCTTCCAGAGTAGATGGGATTACAGGTATGCACCAGTGCTGATAGTTACATAGCATAGTTCACAGCGCTGACGTGTAGCATTCTCTGTATTTCTTGAAGCCCATTCCCAGCCCCTGGGATCACAAACTGCTGTCAGTTGTTTTTTTTTTTTTTTCCCTCTTTGGACTCTTAACATTGTCTGACATTTCTCTTGGTTTGTCTTTAATGATTTTGATTTTTTAAGAATATAGGACAGTTTACCATAGATCCTTTTCACTTTGCTTTTTGATGCTTCCTTATTGTTGGGTTTGGGCCATAAAGTTTTGGCAGATACAGTTTTCCTGCTAGTGCACATCCCATGGGAATACATAGGATACTTGTCTGCACCTTAGGTGACTTGGTCAGGTTCTTCAAATTTTTGATTCTAAAGATGCTCTTTCCTCTTATTTATTTTTTTTAGATTAGGCAAATTTATTGGAGAAAAGGCATGGAGAATGGGGAACAGAATAGCTCCTGAGAGACAAGAGGGTTCCTGAATAGCTTGCCTATTCTTTCCTCCTTTGTAGTTAGTATATAGTTGGTGAGGCTGTGAAAGTGATGGTTTCCTCTTCAGATTTTTCACATAAGCTTTAGCTTCCAATAATAATTCTTGTCAGATTGAGTCTATGATGGTTGCAAGGCAGTATGATTTTTTTCTTATTGCATCATTCTTCTGAAGTTAGAAGTTGGCATTCTACTATAAGGAATGATATCATTGAGGACTCATAACTTCTTTTTTAATGTGTTCTAACAACATTTGGTGATTTCTCTTCTTTACGAATGTGTGTGTATGTATGTATGTATTTATTTATTGGTATGGGGGCTTGAACTCACGACCTAGCACTTGGTAGGCAGGTGCTTACGCTGCTGAGCTACATGCCTGGCCCTTCACTTTTTAAGCTTCCAGATTTGGTTTATGGGAGCATCTTCTGAGTGGTTTCTCAATTTTCAATTTTTGCTTTTGTATTTGTTGTAGTGGTAGAAATGAAACCCACGATTATAGATAGGTCCTCTGTCACTGAGCTATGTTCCATCTCTGGATCCTTTTTTCAACAAACAATTCTTGTGAGTACAGGGCCACACACTTGTAATTCCAGCTGCTGTGGAAGTAAGAGGGTCAAAGGTTCAGGCCAGCCTGGGCAAGACCTTATCTGAAAAGTGGTTGGGGATGTAGCTTAACTTTGTTATCATGTGTGAGGCCCAGGATTCAATTTTTGGTACTACTGATAACACATAGATAATCAGCCAACCCCAACTAGTCTGCTTACTGTCATCACAGGACATTTTTCTAGAATTTCATGTAAGTAGAGCTATACACTATGCTTTATGTATTTGCATTCCCTTATGCTCAACACTTATTATTGCTAGTATTATTTTGGTTTAAGTTTATTGGTACAATTTAGGTATATAAAATGATCACATAATCTTAGGAAATTTGTATCTGTGCATGGTATGTCTTGGTTTCTCTTTTTTCTCCCTTTTCAGCAACTGCTTTCAAATTCCTTGCCCTCACCACCTTTGCTTCCCCATAAAAGCTGTTTTCATGTTCCTTTTCCCATTTTTTCTTTCCCTTTGTTCCTTTCCACCTCTCCCTCCCTAGTTTCCTTTTCTTTTTGAACAGTTTCTTCCTGTTCCACAATATCTATTGTTCATTTTTGTTTTTATTTACATTTTCAGTTTCTCACGCCAGAGATAATGTGATATTTATGTGTGTCCAATTTTACTTTCGATTACTGTCTCAAGATGCATCCATTTAGCTATAAATGTCTCAGTTTTAGCTTTATGACTGAGTTATACTCCATTATATTAAAAAATTACATCTTTTTTTTTGTACTAGGATTCAAACTCACAACCTCGTACTTGTCAGATAGGCGCTTATGCCACTGAGCTAAATTCATATCTTTTTATCCATTCATTGGTTGATGGGCATTTGAGTTGCTTCCAGGATTTAGAAACCATGCCAATATAAACATGGGTATACATAAATAGCTGTGCTGCGATGCTTTTTTTTGAGAGCAGGGTCTTGCTATGTAGTTCAGGTTGGTCTTGAACTTACTCCATGGTGGCCTTGAATTTTTGGTGATCCTCCTGCTTTACCCTCTTGAGTGATGGGATTACAAAGCTCAGTATTGTTTTTTAGATTCATCTGTATTGTTCTACATATTGGTAGTTTTATCTCTTTATTGCTGAATAGTTTTTGTGGTACCAGGAATTGAACTTGGGACCTCATGCTTGCCAGGCAGCCACTGTGACACTGAGGTATATCCCCGACCTTTACTAGTATTCTTTGAATGGATAAGTCCTGTTACTCTTTTGCTGATGGATAATGGACTTGTTTCTACTTTTGGGCTATTAAGTAAAATGCTCTGAGCATTTGATTTTTTGGTTTTGTTTTTGGGGATACTGGGTATCAAACTTAAAGCCTTGTCAAGTGCTCTTCCACTGAGTTACTTTGTTTCTTTTCTTTACTTTTTTTTTTACTTTGTTAAGTAAATACCAGTGAATGGATTGATTGCTCCATCCTATGGTATGTTAATTTTCTGTCACTAAAAAATACCTGACATAGTTGTCTTACGAAGTAGGGAAAAATTTATTATTTGGCTCACAGTCATGGAGATTCTAGTCTGAGATCAGTGGCCCCATTGCTTTGGGCCTGGGTGGGAAGGGCAGATGGTCACATGCAAAGCCATTAAACAGTTGGGACAGGGTCCCGCAGTCCCTTCTTGCAGTGTGCCTCAGTGACCAACTAAGTGTTCTGCCATCTCCCACTCGTGCTACTCTGAGGACATTCAACATCCAAATTGTACTGTTTGAGCAGGGCATGGTGGCACTACTTAGAACCCCAGGACTTTGGGAGGCTGAGGCAGGGAAATTGTACATTTGAGCACATCCTGGGCAATTTAGAGACTTCATGAGATGCTGACTCAAGTAAGAAATTAAAGAATGATAGGGAATTCACCTCAGTACAGAGGCCCTGGGTTAAATATACCATAAATATAAATAAAAGTTTTAAAAATTGCAAACCCAGGTGTGGTGGTGTGCACCTGTTGTCCCAGCTACCTGTGAGCCTGAGGTGAGTTCAATACTAGATTGAATGGCATAGCAAGACTCCAACTGAGAACAAAACACCCAAAATGCTCACAGATTATTTTCCGGGTATATTGTTTCAACGGGGTGTGCTTAGATTTCAGAAAGCAGAGGACAAAATGATACATGAAATAGAATAATCCAATTGGGTTTTCAGCTTTTTGTTAAGATCTTACAAGTCTGTTAAGGCATGTGTTCTGTGACTGGATCTGAAGGCATAAGAGTTTTTTTTTTTTAACAAATTTATTTAAAAATTTCCAATTGTGAAAAACTGTTTAAATTTTTTGAGAAAGGGTATTGCCTGTGCACTTCAGGCTGCCTTTGAATTCGCTATGTAGCCCAGGCTGACCTCTGACTCAAGGCTGTCCTCCTTCCTCAGCCTCTTGAATGTTGAGATTATTACAGGCATGCGCCACAATGCCTGGCCTGGATAACTAAATGTGAAAGAATTATATAATAACTACCTGTGGAGCTGTTACTTAGATTTAGTAATTTTGCTGTATTCATTCTTGTGCTGAATCATTTGAAAGTAACTTGGAGGTGGCACACTTCATCAGTGATGTCCTAAAAAGAAGTTATCATCTAAGAAAACCATTAATTTCCTTGTCACTAATCTTTTTTTGGGGGGCACTAATAATCTTGTATTTTCCTGTTATTTATAAAATAGCACTTTAATAGTATAAAACTTGTCCATAGAAAAAATAAAGGCCTCTTTGCCTTTTGTTTTTTAATGTATCATGTAAAGGTTGTATTCTAAAAATACTGGGTACTTATAATTTGAATTTTCTAAAAAATTGATTAAATTTTGAGACTATAAGAAAATATACTTGTGAAATTATAAAGAATAATAATGTAACAAACACAAACTTAGCATTTTAAGAAACATATTAGCCTGGGCTGTGGTGTTGTATACCTGCATCCCCAGCACTTGGGAGGCTGAGGCAGGAGGATTGGCACAAGTTCGGGCCAGTTTTGGCTACATAATGAGTTCATGGTCAGTATAAACTACGTAGTGAGAATGTCTCTGAAAAAAAACAAAAAAAAAACACAGGAGCATATGTTAAACTTTCCAATATATCTTTTGCAGTGTCATTCCATTGCCACCTCCTGAGAAAAAAATAAGCTTGAATGTTTTAGTTTTTTGCATGTTTGGAAATTGCAGTATAATTGCCATAATATACCCTTTAGCAACAGTTCTTTTCACTTTAGTCTTAAGTTGGAGATTCATGAATGTTGGTGGTCTTGCTGTGTAATTCATTCTTTTTCTTTTTGCTGAAAGATACTTCACTGTTTGAAGTCAGTTTAGTGTTGGTGAGCATTTGCTGTTTATTTTTCATATGAAAGTGCCACCATGAATATTCTATGCATGCATAATAATACACAAGTTCGAGAGGCTCTCTGTGATAATTTCTCAGACTGCAGATAATTTTTCATGCTGCAGATAATTTTTCAGGTTTCAGACTGAGTGAGGAGTAGGAAATCAGTATCTGGGATCATAGTCTGTTTTTTTTGTTTTTGGTCTTTTTGAGGCAAGATTTCTCTGTGCAATTCAGGCTGACCTTGAACTCATTTTGTAGCAAGGCTGACCTCAAACTTGGAGTGATCCTCCTATCTCAGCCTCCTGAGTGCTGGGATTAGAGGAGTGTACCACCACACCCGCATGATCTGTGTTTTAAAAATATTGATAGAAGCCAGGCACAGTGTCCTGATGCCTGTAATCCTAGCACTGGGAGACTGAGGCAGAAAGAAGGATCATTGCAAGTTCCAGATAAGTCGGGGCTACAAAGTGAGATCAAGGTCAGCCTGACTGCATAGTAAGACTTGTCTGAAGGGAGGGAAAAATGTATATGTGTGAGTGTGTATGTGTGTGTGTGTGTTGTCAGAGTACTTCACATAGTAAACATTGTTTCACAGTACTTGGTTGTATTAAAAAATTTTGTGAGTTGATAAGGTTATGCTGATTATAGCAGAAATGTTTGAAAAAGACTCTTTAAGTATTAAGGATGGAATTATAAGAGCCTAAAGCAGTGGTTCTCAAAGGGGAAGATTTTGCCCCCGTTAATGGGCATTTGACAGTGTTTGGAGATACTATTGGTTGTCACACTGGTGGCTGAAGGAGCCCTACTGACATCCAGTGGGTAGAGCTGATAGTGATGCAAAACATCCCACAGTGCTCAAGACCCCCTCTCCCTTCACTGAAGAGCCTGAAGTTCAGAATCCTTGTTCTGAGATTTGCTTATCTTTACTTTTATTAGATTATTCTACTGAAGAGCTTTTCACTCTTAGCACTATACAAATGTCCTTTTTCTCTTCTATATTATATAGTCTTAAAATGTCTTCTAGGTTTGGTAGAGGAAAGACTATTTCATTGTCTTAATGTTATTTCTCATGGCCAGTGAGGCTGAGCATTTTCTATATTCTTTGGCCATTTGGATATTTGGTTGCCCTACTAATTGATGTTTCATACATTTCTCTGTGTGCATGTTGTATTAGCATGAAAAGAGTAATATCAGTTACTGTGTGCTATATTTTAGATATAATTCCTATATTGTGCCTCATGTCTGTTCTGCCTTTTTTTTTTTTTTTTTTTTTTTTCCGGTCTTTTTGAGATAGGGCTCACTGTGCAGTTCAGGCTGGCTTTGAGCTCACTTTGTAGCCCAGGCTGGTCTCCAACTCGCAGTGATTCTCCTGCCTCAGCCTCCCAAGTGCTGGGATTATAGGCATGCACCACTACAACCAGCTTTTTTTTTTTTTTTTTTTTTTGAGAGAATTGCACTCAGGACCTTGCACTTGCCAGACAGCTGCCTTGCTGCTGAACTATATCCCTGGTCCTCTTTTCTCACTTTTTGCAGTGTTTTTGTTAAAATGGAATGTCTCTTACTTAAATAGAAACATCTTTAAACATTTTATGAAATGTTTTGTGTTTTGCTTTGTTATGAGACAGGGGTCTTACTATGTAGCTCAGGCAGTACTTAAACTCACTCTAAAACCCAGCATGGCCTCAAACTCACAGCTGTCCTTCTGCCTCAGACTTCCAAGTGCTGTTCTTCTGCCTCAGACTTCCAAGTGCTATGACTACAGACATGTACCACCATGCCCAGTATTTTTAAGTATTCTTTATGAAGTGAGTCTTTATTTTATTTTTTTGGTCATCCTGGAAATTAAACATAGGATTTTTACACTCAGCTGTTCATCCTGGGCTTGAACTTTGAATCTTTTTTTTTTTTGTACTGGAAATTGAACTCGGGGACCTTGTGCTTGCTAAGCAGGCTCTTGAGCTGTTAAACTAAATCCCTGGCCCTAATCTACCTTAACCTTGCAGAGTTATGAGTTTAAGCATGTGTGCTGTCCTGTTGCTTTAGGAATTTTATATTGTATATATTTAGTAGATTTGGAACTTTGTATTTAACTGTACTATGAATATTTAACTGAAGTCTTTGCAAAGGGCCTGTTAATAATTTTTCTAGTATATTTTATTAAAATATCTTTATATGCTAGTACTAAACACGATCTTTTTTTTTTTTTTTTTTTGTACTGGGGATCAAACTCATGGCCACGTGCTTGCCAGGCAGGCGCTTACACCACTGAGCTAAATCCCCGGCCCTCTAAACATGATCCTTCTTATAACAGAGATAATGTTTTTTAAAGAAAAGGTCTATTTTCACTCAGTTTCAGAGGTTTCAGTGCATGGTGAGCTGGTGGAAATACGGCAGAAGGGCATAAAGGAGCAAAGCTACTACTTTGTGGCAGAAAGCAGAGACAGGGAAAGCACTATAAATATTTGTGACATATTTTTTAAGCATGTGAAATAGACTGGCTACTTTCACTAGTTCTAAACTTGGAGGGGAGTTGCTATGTTCTCATAAAGATAATTGTGTCGTTTTATTGCTAATTGGATGTATTAAAATGTTTTTGTTTTACAAAGGTTGGCGGCGAGAAAGAGAAAAAAGAGAAGATCAAGATGAAGTATCCAGTGTGAGAAGTGAGGGTGGTACTATCCGAGGTTCCTTCAGAGGCCGAGGAAGAGGCCGAGGATGGGGAAGAGGACGAGGCAGAGGAAATTCTCGACGTATGACATACTTTTTTGTTTTGTTCAGTTAGATGAACTTTGAAAAAAAGTGAGCAAAGTGTTACTATTTTATGTTATCCTCTATTATGTTTTAACTAGTTTTTTTGGTCTGGTAATAAAGATGGCTTTATTTTTATTAACTTTTGAAGTACTTCACTTTGCATTTTCCTTTATTTAAAGTTTGTGATCATCCTTTTTTTTAATTCACATCAAGTGAACTTTGAGTATACATATGGTTATGGAGAACATGGTGAAAGGACTGATCAACCATTTCAAACAGAACTTAATACCAGCATGATGTATTACTATGATGATGGGACAGGCGTACAAGTGTATCATGTGGAGGAAGCATTGCTTAAAGAATACATTAAACGTCAAATGTAAGTTGATGTCAGATGTAATTATATGGGATAGTAAAATTGTTACAACATTAAACTTTTTATCTGAATACTTACCATGAAAGTGAACATTTTTAAACTATTAGTAAAAGTTAATATTGTTATGTTAATATTGATTATCTTTTACTAGGAAATACTACTAAAATGATGTTTTTAAAGAGATTACATCTGGGGGCTGGGGATTTAGCTCAGCGGCATAAGTGCCTGCCTTGCAAGCAAGTAGTCATTAGTTCGATCCCTGGTACCGATAAAAACGAAAAAGACAAAAAAAAAAAAAAAGAGAGAGAGAGATTACATCTGGCTGGATGTGGTGGCATATATCTATAATCTTAGCTATTTGGGAGTCAGAGACAGAAGAATTACAGGTTCAAGATCAACCTTGAGACCCTGAATCAAATATATAAAAGGGTTAGGAATGTAGCTCAGTGGTAGAGGACTTACTTAATGTGAGTGTAGCCCTGGTTTCAGTCTCCAGCACTGAAACAAGTCTAGAAATAGGTACATGAGCCTATAAGACAAAAAAAATATGACTATTAGTCTTTAAGTTTCTTCTGTATGTTAGTGTTCTTTAGAGCATATTATATATTTCTATATAAAAACCTCCCCAAGTGATTTGCTTAACCACCTTATAAAACTTGAGTCTTTTCTACTTTTGCAAGCTGAAAGGAAAGGACTACTTTTGAAAGAATGTAAGTTTTTTTTCTAAAGTCTATTTAAGAAAGAAAATAAGCACTGCTTTGTTATTAGGAAGGAATTTCTTCACCACATCTGCTGGGCACCTGTCTGGGTAGATTTGATTGGCCTACAGTATGAAGCAACTTGTTTATTTTGTTCTTGCTGCTTTTGTTACAAGTGATGCATACAACTGAATAAAGAGCCTTTTGTGGGCCAAAAGTGTTTGGCATGTGACTGTTAACTTCCTACCATTATTCTTTTCTGTAACTGTTGCTGCCAGGTTCCTCCTGAGATCTAACTGTAGACATGCAGCAATGAGAGGATAATTGGCCTCCCTGTGCTCTTACAAGTGAGGGAGGAGCAGAACTGCTTGACTGTTGACAACATTTCTGATCATGCAGTGGAGAATCCAGAGCTGCTAAAAGAGGACATGGTAATGCCCTCAGAGCACTGAGCAAACAATGTCAGCTACACCATTGGTGTCATGACTGCTTTTTTGTTGTTGTTTCAGGAGTAGTGTTTTTGCAAATGTTAGAAGAGCCATCTGGTGTAAGGAAGCTTGTTTTTGTTATCATGCTTTGATTGGTAGAGATCTAGATTTGAGGAGTCATACTTTGACTTTGTCATTGAGCTTTCTAATATAGTATATAGGTGAGTTGACAGATTAGGATTAGATTTTCCTTTTTGAAGTCATTTAGCTTTCCTTTTATGTGTGGCAAAATGATGCTAAATGTTTTCTTACTCTCCAAAATGATTAGGAAATAATTTTCAGTGAGATTTTAAACTTTTTGTCAGAATATTTTCATTTTTAAATATTTTGATTGTTTCTAGTTGGGACCGTGTTTGGTATTCAAATTTAGAGATTAGAGCGTTTGTACCATATTAGAAAATTTTAAAAGTATGTATTATAGATAATAGACTTAAATATATTTAGAGCACTAAGCAAACTGATTCTTACAAAGTATTACATTTAAAGGGAAGCCTTTTAAATGTCTTGTTTGCTTGGTTGCTTATGGTGCCCAGGGACATTGTACCACTGAGCTAACAGCCCCAGCCCTTCCCTTTGTTTAAATTTGGAGACAGGCTCTGAATTTGCAGTCTGCTTGCCTTACCCTCCCAGAGTGCTGGGATTACAGCCGTGTGCCAAACTGGGAAGTTTATTATTGATTCAGAGAAATTTTTATCCAAGAATAATTGTGACTAAAACAAATGTCTGTCTTAATGTATGAAATTTTAGGGTTTCTTTTAGTATGTGCCTGATAAGCACTGTGAATAGGGCTTTTGAGGTATAACAAAAATCAGAATATTCATTTCCTTAAGTCTTAGTTTTTTTCAGTGCTTAAAGAGTAATAACTTACACGTATTACTGAGATGTCAGTATTTGCTGATCTTTTCGAGAGCTTGCACAAAGTCTTGCTAAGTTGCCCAGGCTGGACTTGAACTTGTGATCCTTCTGCCTCATCTTCCCAGAGGTGTGTGTTGCCATCCTGATGAAAGTTTTGTATTTGGAGATTCAGATAAATATCATATTATAAAGAAAATTTGTGTATTTGCATTTTTGCATGAGATGATTTTTTTTTCCATTTTCCAGTTAGAGGTCCTAAGTGCCTAGGGTTAAAATTTACCTTAAATAGTCCAGAGATAATCTAGTCACTGAATTTTAGACCCAATGATACAAACTGGTGTACTCTCATAAATTACCACCCTTCTTTGAAAATTTTCTCTGTGATTTAGAAACTGTATGCTGATTAAGCTGCAGGCCACATCATCAAAATCATTGGTTTTGTTGTTGTTTTTGAGACAGTGTCTTAACTGTATAGTACAGACTGGCCTAATGTAGCCTAGGCTGGCTGCCTCCTGCCTCAGTCTGGGATCACAGGCATGTGCCACCACACCCAGTTATTTAGTATGTATGTGAACCAAGTAGAGGTAGTTTGGGAAGCTGAGACAAGAAGATTGTGAATTTGAAGTTAACCTGGGCTACACAGTGAGACCCTGTCTCCAAAAAAATTAACCACTGACTGGATGGACTATTTTAAAGTGAAATGAGCTCTTTTTTCTATTTAGGTGGAGCTGGTCTAAATAATGCTTAATGTTTTTTAGAAAATAATCAGTTTTTGTACTCATATAAGAGAAATTAGTAATTCAGTAGGTTTTTTTGTTGCTATTTTTCTATTAAACTTATGTCTATGCTTAATATACTGTAATATTAACCAAATTGAAATACTTCGATAACATTTGACATGTAAGCAATAGATCCTATTGAATAAGTGGATGATATTTATGTTTACTGCTTATTTCTTTTCTCAGTGAATATTACTTTAGTATAGAAAATTTGGAACGAGATTTCTTTCTTCGGAGGAAAATGGATGAACAAGGTTTCTTGCCTATTTCCCTTATTGCTGGTTTTCACCGAGTTCGGGCTCTTACCACAAACCTTAATCTCATCTTAGAGGTAATTATTTATTTAAAACAATCTTAACTTTCACCCAGTTTTTTTCTGTGAACCTAAAAGTAGGATGAGGCAGCTATAGTCTTAGTTAGATACTTGAAAAGCTGAATTGGTAGGATCATTTTGTGCCCACGAGGTTGAGATCAACATGGACAAAATAGTGAGATTCCCTAGGCCCGAATTAAAAATCCTGTCTGTATTTGCCTAAAATTCTGACAGCATCTCATGCTGTTTTGGGGGGGTCGAGAGGGGTCCTTTTGAGACAGGGTTTCACTGTATAGAACTTGTGGTCATTTGGCCTCAGCCTCTTGAGTGCTGGAATTAGAGGCATGTGCTACCATGCCTGGCTCATCTCATGGTATTTCTTCATTTGATAAAATGTAAATGTGCCACTTTAGAAAGCCTACAAAGAATTGCTAATGATATTGCCACCTCTTTTAAGTTCAAACCTTCAGACCTTTTTTATTTTTGTTTGGTTATGTCTGAGATTGGGTTTCAGTTGTCAGTAGGTAACCTGGGCTGGCTTTGAACTTGAGATCCTTCTGCCTTGGCCTCCGGAGTGCTGGGATCATAGACCTTCCACCACTATGCCTAGCAAGCTTTGACTTTCAGTATTCTTGGACTTTTAATCTTCAGGTTGCTATAAAATAGCACATATTCCTATTTAATTTTCCATATGCTACTGAAAGACCAATTTAAAAGATATTTATAATCTTCTTACTGCTTTTAATTAAACCTCTTACCTGTTCAGTTTCTAGAAAGGTTTTTGAAATTGTGATTTTTTTTTTTTTTTCCCCCTCAGTTTCCTACGTGTATAGTATACTTTGTAGCCAATGTCTTTCCCTACACACAGTCTCTGGTAACCTAATTTACTTTTTGTCCCTATAGCTTATCTTTTTTCAGAATAAAATTATACATAAATTTCACTAATTTTTTTTTTTTTTAATTTTATTTAAGGAGAAAAGAAAAAAAAAGGGAAAGGGTACAAGTTATACAGATTTACAGAAAAAAAAATGAACAGTAGGAAATCACTAGTTAATGGATTACATATTGTCATCTTAGAAATAATTGTTCAAGTCACAAAATTAAAGCTTGTAAAGTGGACATTCCATCAATGATACTGCAAACAGTTCTGTTCATTGATCCAATAAAACTCTGTGATATCATTTTCTATCTTACACACTTAAATATACATGCAGTTATATAGTTTGGAGCACTTTCTTTTCCTCTCTTTTGTACCATGACTATTACACATTTTGGGTCATTGCTCCCACGGTTCTTATTACTTTTTTGGAAGAGAGTAAAACCAAATGTGACATAACAGAACAGAATCGGTCAAGTCAAAAGGGTGGACATAATAGATAATGTAAAAACATAATACAAGGTGATCAACAATGGTTACTATAATGCCTCCCGCTATCTCTAATAGAATTGCCTATATCGCTAGTTATAATACAATTGAACAAAACAGTAAAGAATAAAACCGACAAAACCAAAACATTGGAGACATTGTAGGTCTTCAAAAGTAGTTAAAAGTCAACAAGAATGGGCGTCATAATGAATCTCATTATCTTCACAGCTGATGCCTAAACTTTCGAACCTGATACTATCCAGCAAAACAGAATAGGGGAACATCAGTTAAAAAACAGATGGTGAGAGTAATACAGGGCTTTAAATCAAGGTAATAAAAAGTCAAAGTGGGTTACTATAATATATCCTGCTATTTTTTTCCTTTAATTAAAAGGATAAAGATAAAAAAGTAAATAATGGAGTGGAGATTGAGATAAAAGAGGGCATAACAACGAAACAGCACAGATCAAAACATAACCATTTAAGCAGAATAGTGTTTCACCACCAGATAATCCTAACCTAAAAGTAGTTACCATATTGTCTTTCTTTGAAATCCTTGAGTACAACTTCGTATACTGTAGCATTAAGTATATCAAAGCAATGTAAAACCATTCAAGAGAATGACAGCATTACAGAGTATTTAGAATCGACTAACAGGAAATGAATAATGGTTTCTGTATAATCTCCTTGTCTTTACAAGGTTTTTGCTTATACTACCGTACATAATAAAATCCAGTAAGATACAACCTATTTAGACCATTGGAGACACAAGGACAAAAGCTAGATGAGACTTCAAAACAAGATGATACGAAATCAGTATTACCTATTAAGATGTCATTTTCTCCAAAATAGCTGTTCCTATCATCCAATCTTCTCTGCCTCATTTCTGTTGAGCTCTTTTTCTGTCAGTAGCTGTCAGTTTGTCTTCTTCATTTTGTTCTCTGCTCCATTCGTTGTGGCCTCTCTGCCATTATTTCTGGATTCTTTGTATTTTTCTTTTTTTAGAATATCCTGCAATACTCTCTGTAGAGTTGAATTGGTGGTTGCAAATTCCCCCAGTTCCTCTTTATCCTGGAAGCACCTTGTTTTTCCATCAATTTCCAGGGACAGTTGTGCAGGATATCTCAATCTTGGCTGGAGATTATTATCTTTCAAAGCTTGAATTATTTCCCCCCATGCTCTTCGTGATTTGATGGTTTGTGCAGAGAAATCTGCTGTAATTCTGATGGGTGTTCCCTTGTAAGTGGTCTGTTTCTTGTCTCTTACAGCTTTTAATATTCTGTTCTTGTATTGAATTTCTGGAATTTTTATTATTATATGCCTGGGTGTTGCTCTGTTTGGGTTGTAGGTAGCTGGGGTCCTGTATGCCTCATATATCTGAGTATCTTTACCTTTTGCTAAATTAGGAAAATTCTCCTGGATTATTTCTGTGAGTAGCTTTTGTAGTTCACTTGTTTGTGTCCCTACTTCTTTTATGTTCTTAATCCTTAAGTTATGGCTCCTCTTATCATCTTCTTGTCTTTGTATTATTGCTGTTTGTTTCTTTGTTATTTTTAAGAAGTTTTTCATTTCATTCTCCCATATTACAAGTCTGCCCTCCAGGTCAGATAGTCTGTCCTTAGTTTCTTTCAAGCTGTTATGCCAGTCTTCTATGGACTTCTTGGTATCTTGGTAGTCCCTTTGAACCTGCTTCACGTATTCTATGCTTTCTCTGTTTTCTCCATCAAACAATTCTCCCCTTTTTTTCTGCTCTTCCATTCCACCGCCTGTTTTTTCTTGGGTGGTACTTAGCATTTCTCTAACTATTCTGCATACTTCTAGCTTCAGGTCGTTGATAACTTCATTCCTGAATTGGTCTATGAGGCTCTCTATATGGTGCCTTATGTATATTGGTGCGGTGTCTGCTATTGCCTGTTTCTCAGAATTGGGGGCCGAGGAGCCTTTCTTGTTGCTGCCTCTTCCCATGCTGCCTCTTCTTCTCTGTTCCTTATATATGCAAGCTTATATAAGAGGCCCAGCTTCTCTCCCAGTCAGCCACAGCCTGATCGAATTGCGCCAGTTAGGTGTTCCCGCTCACCGCTGCGCACCAGGGAGTTACGGACCAGGCAGCCTACTCGTCTCCCCTCCCGGCCACTGTCAGGCTCTCGGATCTGGGTTGGGACAGCCTACCAGGTCCGCAGGCAGCGTCACGCAGGCCAGGCACTTTTCACCAATCTCGCCCGAGAGGGGGATGTGTGGCTGGAGTTGCCACCGCGCCCTGCTCCCACAGGACTGCTCGGGCCCAGAAAGTCCTCTGCTGGAGTCAAACTGTGGTAGAGTGTCAGCTTCTCTCACTCACCTCACCACAAGTCAGTGCACGCCTCCCTGCCTTTCGCAGATTGCCGTTCTCAGAGCTTCTGGGAGTCTCTCTCCTTGCTGAGCCACTGTAGAGGCAGCCAGCCGCCGCACGGTGGGAAACCCAAATCGCGGCTTACAATGGCGTGGGGTCCAGCCTCCACACCGAGGCTTTTCTGTTCCTGTTTTAGCACCAGGAATGCATTCCAAGTTGGCTTCTCTCAGCCCAGTTCGTTCCTGAGTCAGCAGAGCATATCTCCACCTGCTTATGTCTCCTTAGTCCGCACCATTCCTGGCCTCTGAGCCGAGTCTTTCAGAGAGCCTCTGGTAGTTGTTGTTATCTGTCCGCCATGTTCTCCCGGAAGTCTATACATAAATTTCATACTTTGTAACTACTGTTTCTGGTTTCTGTCCAATTAGCATAGAGTTTTTGAAATTCATCTGTGTTTCATATATCACTATTCTTTCTTTTCTTTTTCTTTTTCTTTTTTTTTTTTTAAATGCTACCATGAATCAAATTCACAGCCTCATGTTTGCCAGGCAGGCATTGTGCTTCTGAGCCATATACCCTGCCCAGTTTGTTCTTTTATGTTGTTGTTGTTATTATCTCGTAATATGGCTGTGCCACAGTTTATCCATCCCCTTGTTAACATTTAGGTTGTTTACAGATTTGGCAGATTGAGTAAAGCCTGACAGTTTTTGTGTGGGTATCTGTTTATTTGTTGAGTAAAATATCTGGGATGGTAATTGTTGAAATGTGTTTTTGCTTATAAGAAACAGCTATCATTTGGGCCATAGGAGGTTCATATAAAAAGTATACTGTGGACATATCTGAAGAGGTTTTATCATTTTGCATTCACACCTTTGTGTGTGAAACTTGTTGTTCCACAGCTTCAGCATAACTTGATATTGTCAACTATTAAAATAGTAGATATGTAAACCAGGTATGATATGTAAACAGGTTCATGCCTGTGATACCAGTATGTAGAAGGCTCATTCATGAGGATCGGGCTATCAAGCCTGGGGCACATAGCAAGACCCTGTTTAAAAAAACATAACAAAACAGAAGATCAGTGTTGGTTTCTTATTATAGTTATTTTGCATTGTCCTAATGAATTTGGAAATGTTTGTAACCTGTTTTCTTAGTGTTGAAACACCTGTCCAAAGCCAGGCATGCTACTACATGTCTGTAATTCCAGCACTTGGGAAGTTGAGGCAGGAAGGGCACAAGTTTGAGGCCAGCCTGGCTATATAGTGAGACTCTCAAAAAGGGGTGTGTAATAGAGCACTTACTTGCCTCCCATGTGCAGAGCCCTGAG